TCAGTATATGCATTGTGGCCTGCAGGGTGCCACACAGCCAAAAACTCTACTCCTCAATATTTTCTTTTGCACACGCATGTAAAATTGAATTCAGTCCTATAGATATGCTGTCTATTATGAGACCAAATAGTGTGTGCCCTCTCAGTCCTATAGATATGCTGTCTATTATGAGACCACATAGTGTGTGCCCTCTCAGTAGGACTGAAAAGGGCTTCTGTCCTCCAGCGACACATTTGGGGCTTCATCCCTATAAACAGCCAGTGCTTCATTCCTACATTCGTCCTTTTGCCGAGCATGCACGGTGCCTCATCCCTCTTTCTGTGCTTTTGCTGCAAATGGGCAAGTCCATATGCCTCTCATCCCTCCATCCTCCTGCAACACAGACATGGGGCTATGTCCCTCCATATGTCTTCCTGCATATATATGTGGGGATTAATTCCACCATACTGCTGCAACACACCAATGTGGGGCCTAGTCTCTCTGTCCTCCTGTAACACATATGCAGTACCTCATTCCTCCATCTGCCCTCCTGCACATACAGTACATCTGTAGCCTTATTACACTGTCTTCCTGGAACACATATATGGGGGCATATCCTTCCATCTATTCTGCTGATAAAACACACATGCAGGACTCCAGGAAAAATAAGCAGAATAACTGTACTTGTGGAACCTCTTCCATTGGTCATCTTTCAATTCACACATAGGATCTCCTACTTCCATCTATCCTCCTTCCACACACATAAAGAGCCTTATCCCTCTTTCTTTCTTCAACACACATTTGAAAAGCTTCCTCCATCCTACTACAACACACACATGGGCCTCATTCCTATGTCCATCCTTCTGCTAACCACATGCAAGGCTACATGCAGCAATCACACACATAGGGACTGATTCCTTTGTCATATTTGCAAAACAAATGCAGGGCATATAAGTACAGTAGGTAGAGCATTCAGGCTTAGAAGCTCAGGTACAAATGTAGATATATGTTGTATTAGCACCCACTATTTATATAGTCCTAACTCCACTTTATTTTTATAGCTGTTAGGCAGTCTGCATTCCAATAAGTTGCGGAGTTTGACCATAGTGTCTGATAAACTTAATCACCTAAGAGACCTGGTCAGAAACACCCCCTCTTTTCTCCACACTACAAGTCAGCCAAAGTGCTCTATTGATTAGTGGTATGGCCAATCAGCATGTAGGTGGGTGCAGTTAGTCTTCCCACATGTAGGTGGATTTATGTGTGGGAAGAGGAGTCTCATAAAGGAATTAATTCCAGTGCTTCAAGTTGTCCGATTGGACACAGAACTCACAGGAAACTTAGCGGCCATTTCGGGTAAAGGAACCAAATAAATAGGGGAACCCACATCACTTTGGCGTACTTTGGTCTAATGGTTGGACAGGGACCCCTTTGGAGGTACAGTCCTGACATAGGGAGAGGTTCGAGTCAAGCAGTAAAGCTCAGGGGAGGCTCCCTCAAATTTACATTCACTCTAATGATCGGTATAGGAGTATGGAGCCAGTGCAGTTTACTGAAATATCTTAGCAGGTATTCCATAATGGAACACTCCCCCCAGTATCTGAAGCTGTAGTCCGATAACACATCTTGTCAAATGCTGAGACTGATTAGTCAGTGAGCTGTTGTATTAAGTGCCAAAGACTTGCTTATCTTTTGTACTAAGAAGCCTGCTCAAGATCAATAGAAAATATGGTGTGTGAGTAATTCCACCCAAAAGGGTACCTAACTTAGACCCTGCCTACACTTAGCACCTTTGGCAGGAGACAGAAAGCATATCCCTCTCACAGGACACAGGCTAAGTTGTAGCAATGGTACCCTTGGAAGTAGCTTTAGCACTGATTCCCAAATATAATGGCACCAAGCTTCCACTAGCTAAGTGGGTGGAGCCATTGAGGAGTGTGGCTCACCTGTTTCAAATGCAAAAGACCTTCTTCCCTGACCTGGCTGTTAAGACGCCCTTCCAGAACTGGACGACTGCGCTGTAGCTGTCATTCAGCTATACCGTGGTCGGCAAGTGGTTAAAGACACACTTAAGTCAAAGTAAGGATTACATTTTGAAATACATACAAAGAGCATAGCCCCTGCTTACCACCTCACATACACAGAAAGTCGTGTGTTTGTGGCACAATGTCACAGATAATTAAACTTAAACTTATTCAAACTTACATTTGAATGTGACTGGTGATGCAGCAAACTGAGGGAAGATACATATCATTGCCTTCAGGTAGTTCCCTGCCATTCTACAGATTCTCTATGGAGTTGTATTTGCTTATTCCACAGAAAGCAAGCTAAGCTCAACCTAATGAATTTTCAGACATTAGCACAGTAGCATTGTTTACTGAGCACCATTAGAAACTCACTGCAGGCTTTCACTTGTTTCCTTGAATTGCTCTTCAAAAGTACCCAAAAGTAACTCAAGTGTCTGAGGTCACTAGTAATATTCACGGGCAATGTTTTTTTCCCAAAAATACCTTTTAAAGTTTAGGGGTTTTTTTTAAAGAAATTATACTTACCTAGGTGGATGCAGCATTTGTCAAATGCTGCATCTGTCCCCCACAGGCTCTAAAACTGGGAACTGAGCGATCAAAGACCACTAAACAATCAGTTCCCAGTGCTCCATGAGCAGAAAGCTGGTGACTTTCAGTCACCGCTCCCTGCTCTGCCACCCCCCCTTCCCCCGTACTCACTGGAGCGCTGGGCTGTGGAGGGGGAGAGAGTGGGCAGCTCAGGCTCTCAGTGGATCACTGAGAGGCTGAGCCAGCTTCCGGTCCATGGATCTGGGTGGATCCCAACTTTAAAGTTGGGATCTTTCCCCAGTCTGGACCAGCTGAGTGACTTCAGCCAACAATGGACTTCAGCTTGCTGTTGGCTGAAAACGATTCACAGGAGTGCAGAACGAACTGTACTCCTGTAATCCATAGGAGAATTACAGCCAAACAAGCTTTGTCTGTACTTCTCCTTTAAATTACTTGTGATAATTACTTAAAGGGTTAAGTCACCTTAACCAAAAACTGCCTATGTAGGTAAGAGGCACCTGTAGATAAAAACAAACTGTGCAGCTGTGACTAAAGTTGATTAGCACCTTTGCTATAGGTGTATATCATTCATGTACCTTTCGAACCTTGACTGAAAAACTTCCACGGATGGCATCATCTGATCCTACCTTGTTGCTAAGATGTTGCTAAGGCACTCCCAACTCTTACTGCTGATCCCTACCATCACAGGAACAAGCTCTTAAAACCCTGCTAATGTGTGGTCCACTATCTCCTCCATCACATCTCTGAGCTCAGAGCTACTCGTACAGGGAGAGAGAGCATGAGAGAGGGTTTGATATAGCTGGGTGTGCCTTAACCACATGTGAGAAGCAAGGAAGAACAGGATTATGCCATCTGTGAATTTTTTGGCCAAGCTTCGGAAGGTACATGAATGGAAAGGGCATTATTTAACCTTGGTTAAAGCTACAGAGTTTGTTTTTATCTACCTACATAGGCACATTTTTAGTAAAGGTGAACTAACCCTTTAAAAAGTCTTCTGAATTACAAAAGGTAGGGAAATATTGAAAGACTAGTCAAGCATAAAAGATCGTTTTCAGAGTCAAGATTTCTATCCGTTCAACTAAAAATATAATACAGTCCAGTTGGCTCATTGCTATAAAAAACTAATTTATGTTAGCTAAAGCTCTGCTTTCATTTCCAGGCCTTTATCAGACCATCTACATTAAAAAGTAGTCAAGAACATATAAATTAGTCAATGCCAATGACAGTAATCTACTGTGGAGAGAAATCTGGGATACATCCCATCTTCAGTTTCCAAAATCTTTAATTAATCCGCTGATATTATGTAGAACACTGTTCAAACTAATTCATGAAAGATAATCATGTGATATTAATCCCCCAGAACAAATTAAGACAAAAGACTTCAACTTTTTTTTTTTAAAAGAGCAATTTGCTTGAAACGCTGAGCTTACACTAACATCAGATAGCAGGAGTGGAAAATGCAAAGACTAATTGGAGAACATTAATTCTAATATTTATTATCATAACTTTAATATGATTATTATCATAACTTAATATGATGACAGACTAGGCAGAGACCTCAAAATATTTGACTTATTCTGCCTTGCAAATAGTTCCAGATAAAACCGTCATCTCAGGAGGGTCATCTGTTGGATTAATGACCAACTAGTATTTTACAAAGCACAAATGTTTTTATTATCAATGTCAATTTGACTTTATTATAGACGAATGCCATTTTGGATTGTGTTTATTGAGCCTAGAAGCTTTAAAATGTGAATGCCTGTATTTATATTAATGTGTGTTTGTTGAAACCATGTAGTATAGTTGCCAACATTCTTGATTGGAAATTAGAGTAAAAAAGTTATACCCTCTAATTCTATTCATATCTAACCTGCCAAATCACACCTACTGCCATCAAGAGGGATGTCATGACTATTCTTGGTGAGCCACGCCCTTTTCAGAGAAATGTTCAAAAACCTGCTTAGGTATTTCAGTCATTTGGTCTTAATTATCAATGCTTTTTTATGACTGCTCACTACAAGCAGGCCATTAAACCACACAGGTGGGAATTTTTCCACAGAAAGAGATTTTCAATTTTGTGCGGCCAATTTTGAGATCAAAGTGCTCCTGAAAGAGTGCACAGACAGATCTTCAACCACCACATCAGCAAAAGCACAGCTTGGTCAAGAAAACACCCCCTGCCTGCTGATTAGACAACAAAATAGCAGGACGCAATTGAGGCCTCCTTCTGCTCTTCCTGTTATCTCCTCTTGTTGGCACGCTATGGCTGAATAAAAAGATATCCTTTATCAGTTAGGATGTGTTACCTATGAGGGGCATTCAAGTGAAACCGAGACATTTCATTTTACAGGTATAAAAAGGGATTCTAGCGTGGCAGTACTACATGCAGTAGTAAGTGGCAAGTGTGTCCTATTAATGATAGGCGGCACACATGTCGCGGACCAGGGGTGGACTGACAACGCATGGGGCCCCCGGGCAATAGGGGATCATGGGGCCCCTGTGTCCTTGCCCAAACTCAAAAAAGCCTATGAAAAAGGTACAAGGGGCATCTCATGGGGCCCCCTACTGACCCCGGGCCCTCGGGCAGTGCCGAGTTTCCAAATGGTCAGTCCGCCCCTGTCGCGGACTAGTCCAGAGATCGTTAATCAAGATGACAGACAACCGTGTTAGTGTGTGCATGGAACAGCGTGTGGTGAACTAAGTTTCTTGTGAACTAAGGCATATAGCTCACAGACATCTACAGAAGACTCCAAGCATGGTACGGTGATGAGACGCTCAGCCACAGTAAGACATTTGAATGATGTAAACATTTCAAAGATGTCCGTACGTCTGCCAGTGATGATCCCGACTGTGGTGGTTCCCAGCCCACAGCAGTCATTCCTGTGAACATTCAGAGCGTGGAACGCCTGATCCTGGATAATTGGCGCATAACCTGTCATGAAATTGCCCAAGAAAAGAATCTTTCTGTGGGAATGGTGAACACAATGATGATGAAATGATGCAGGCTGTCCTAGGATGTTTCCAGCGTCCTGAAAAATATTTCTATGCCGAACCTTTCTAGCCATTAGTTAAACACTGGGATAAGTGTATAAATGTAGCAGGGGGTATGTCAAAAAATAAATGCAGTTTCTACTCCTTGCATTTGTTCTTTTATTATATAATCTCAAAAGTCCTGGTTTGACTTGAACATCTCTCATAAAAGAAAATCAAGTCTGCAATTTCAGCAGCGTGAAAAGTACAGTCAGTCGAATTTTGCATGCTTTCTATGAGTCATGCAACTCTAGTCAAAACTGTTTTTGTTTTTTTATTATTATTTATTGATTTTATCAGATTTTTTTTCTCGTATGTGACTCTATTGGAGAGATTTCTTCCTATATTCTGTCCTGGTGACAACACTTTTACTGGGACAGGGAATTAAGTCTTTCTAACATGGACACTGCAGGAGTTAAAACACATTTTAGGCCCCATGCACACTGGGCATTTACCCAGCTCTTCTGAATGCCTTTTCTCGTGGCAGGGGAAAAGCAGCTTAAAAAAAACGCATCTAGGCATGCCAACCATTTGGGCTTTCATTCATTTCATTGGCTAGAATGGATGCTCAAGTTCTAAGAGAAGAATGAACAGAAGTAATTGTTTAAATGGTTTGCTACGTCCAGGTCTCCCTCAACAGAAGTGTTGTGCCCATTTTTCATTTTGATAATACCACTGTACCTAAAAAAAAGTTGGTCTCCTTTCTTAATAGATTTACCCATTTTCCCTTGTTTCTGTGCTGCTTTGGCAGCACTGATAATGTGTTTGACCTCCTTTTGTCTATTTTTATGCACTTCTCTTCCAGCTACATTTCCTGATTCCTTGAATCTCCTATATACTATTTCTTTTCTCCTTTGCTATACTACTTACCTCTTTAGTGAACCATATTATTTTTTTCTTCTGTTTACGCTTACTAATTTGCCTGACATATAATCTAGTTGCCTCCAGTATAGTAGACGTTAACAGTGCCCACTAACAAGTTACACTTATTGTTATTATACAGGATTTATATAGCTCCAACAGTTTGCTCAGCGCTTTACAATATAACGGGAGACAATACAGCAACAATACAGTTCAATACAAGAGGGTTAGGAGGGCCCTGCTCCTTGGAGCTTACAATCTAAGAGGAGGGGCTAGTGGTACAAAAGATAAAAAATGTGGGGGGATGAACTGGTAGGAAGAATAGAAGATTCCATTATTAGCTGAGGGCAGGATAGGCTTCCCCGAAGAGATAGGTTTTTCAGGAATCACCTAAAAGTGAGCAGAGTAGGCGATAATATACACTTATTTTCAACTATCATCACCCCAGATAAGCAACTGGTGTCATGCTTTCATTTGTGCTCCTAGGAGACATGGCAGCACTTGGAAGAAAGAACTAGGATTTCTGCACCCCTGGCATCTTTGACACCATCCTCCTTTGCCTATGTCTTGTCTGGAAGGAATAATATAAAATAATATGATGTAATGTGTAAAGAAATATCCAATTTACTCAATTCTACAACTACCATATTGATCCAATATTTTGATTTCCATTTCAAACAAACTTTACTTAAGGGAAAAAAAAGACCCACATTGTTCACCTGCTTAGTACCGCATGTGGTAAATAATCAAAATAACCTGCAATATCCATTTGATTTACTTAAATCCCTTTCATCATTTCAAATTGCTTCTGTACATTTTCAGACCATTTCAAAATACCAAATTTCACTCAGGTGCTCTAAATCATCTAAATACTATGAAAACGTATCTTAAATCATTCCTCCCTGCTTCAAACCACCTTAAACCTCACTAATCCCAAACTAATCACTTAAATGTCTCCTGTGCTACCAAGGCAGGGACCAGAATCTGTGACCATTTCAGAGTGTTTTATGACCTTGTCCAAGCCACAACCACAAAAATGTCCAAACAATATGGGCTGTCATTTTGTCATGACGGACTACCTGCAGGTAATAACATACAGAGGTTTATACACACTGGATGCCCCTGACAAATTTTATGAATCCTTGAAAATGGTCTTGGGTCACTTAGTTTCATTACACTTTACTCAATAAAAGCAAACAAATGAAAAAAAAATCACATATAAATATAAAAACATAAATAGGCCATTTCTTTTAGGAAGGAAGGAGGTTGTTCTAGCCCATATTTAAAGAATGGTAGGCAGCATACAGAATTCAGGAGTAGATATGTAAAGAGTCAGGTTCAGAATAAGTAAAGAGGGAAATAACTCTATATATATATATATATATATATATATATATATATATGATAGATATGAAATATGAGTCATAAAACATAGGAGTCAGTGTGATCTTAGTCATTCCATTAATAAGTATATTTAAAGGCTAATTAGCATAATATACAGTATATTGCCCCTAAAAAACATACACTATATTGTCAAACATATTGGAACACCCCTCCAAATCATTGGATTCAGGTGTTCCAATCACCTCCATGGCCACAGGTGTAAAAAAATCAAGCACCTAGGCATGCAGACTGCTTTTACAAACATTTGTGAAAGAATGAGTCGCTCTCAGGAGCTCAGTGAAGTTAAGCATTGTACCTTGATAGGTTTCTACCTGTGCAATAAGTCCATCCGTGAAATTTCTTTGCTACTAAATATTCCACGGTCAACTATTAGTGGTATTATAACAAAGTGGAAGCAACTGGGAACAACAGCAACTCAGCCACAAAATGATAGGCCATGTAAAATGACAGAGTGAAGTCAGCGCATGCTAAAGCACACAGTGTGCAGAAGTCGCCAACTGTCTGCAGAGTCAATAGCTTAAGACTTCCAAACTTTGTGTGGCCTTCAGATTAGCACAACAACAGTGTGTAGAGAGCTTCATGGAATGGGTTTCCATGGCCGAGCAGCTGCATCCAAGCCTTACATCACAAAGTGAAATGCAAAGCATCGGATGCAGTTGGTGTAAAGCACTCTGCCACTGGACTATAGAGCAGTGGAGACAAGTTTTCTGGAGTGGCAAATCACACTTCTCTGTCTGGAAATCTGACGGATGTGTCTGGGTTTGGCAGTTGCCAGGAGAACAGTACTTTCCTGACTGCATTATGTAAAGTGTAAAGTTTGGTGGAGGGGGGGATTATGGTGTGGGGTTTTTCTTTAAGGGGTTGGGCTTGGCCCCTTAGTTCCAGTGAAGGGAACTCTTAAGGCATCAGAATACCGAGACATTTTGGACAATTTCATTCTCCCAACTTTGTGGGAACAGCTTCGGGATGGCCCCTTCCTGTTCCAACATGACTGAACACCAGTGCACAAAGCAAGGTCCATAAAGACATGGCTGAGCAAGTTTGAGGAGAAGGAACTTGATTGGTCTGCACAGAGTCCTAACCTCAACCCAATAGAACACCTTTGGGATGAATTAGAGCAGAGACTGTGAGCCAGGCCTTCTCATCTGACATCAGTGCCTGACCTCACAAATGCACTTCTGGAAGAATGATCAAACATTCCCATAGACACACTCCTAAACCTTGTGGACAACCTTCCCAGAAGAGTTGAAGCTGTTATAGCTGCAAAAGGTGGGCCAACTCAATATTGAACCCTAGGGACTAAGCCTGGGATGCCATTAAAGTTCATGTGCGTGTAAAGGCAGGCATCCCAATATTTTTGGCAATATAGTGTATGTATGTAGCAATGACCCACTCAGAAGCTGCTGGATTTTAATGAGCTTTCCTAGTCTTTCTTATGGTGACTTACCCTTTAGCTGCCCCCAGATACTCACCAACCCTCCAGCAGCAACAACAAGCTTTAAGGACCCCTCCCGGTCCCAGCTATACTTACCTCTATGGGTGATGGCCTGTCAGTGCCAACACAGCCCTTGTAGTGGTCTTGGCATTTCCCCTTCTTTCTGCAGGGTTTCAGGAATGGATCACAGAAATTCTCTGTACCAATGCTGACCAGTCAGAATCACTCTGTCCCATCCTGGAAGCCCTGAAGAAAGAAGGCAAGAAGAGCGGAGATCATCCATGGAAGTAAGTACAGCAGGGAATGGGGGTTGGGAAGAGTGAAGGGTGTTAGTTCAGCTTTAAAGCTTAATAACTTGTGTCGAAAGGGTTGGGGGTACAGGACAGCAGCAAAAATTACCTCCACTCCAGATGGGCTACTATCTTCCAGTATCTCTTTAAAAACTCTGCCAGTTTACAAGTCAGCTCTAGAATTCTTTATATCCCTGCCACAAACTAAGGTAGATTCAATAGGCCCAGATTGGTGGCCACTTTTCTTAGACCACTAAAAAACTCTTTAGGACTCTACAACATGCCAGCCTGGATACCCTAGGGCCCAGACAGGCAGCTAAAAGAACAAAACCCTTCTTTTTCTTCTGGCTTCCTTTCCCAGGCAAAGGGCCTGGGAGGCACAGGACCTCTCACAGCTACAATGAACCCTAGGAGGCAAGGATACAAGTACCATTCTATAAGTCCTCACCTCAGTGATTGACCAGATTAAAATAAATATTCAAACCCAATACATTGTATCTTCTCCTGTTGCCTACTGGATACCCAACAGTAGCAGGTACAAGCAATGTCCTAGACTTAGGGTAAACCTAATGAATAATAGATAATATAAACAAAACTCAAGCTTGCTACAGACTAGCTGCAAATTCTAA